AGTGTTACCAGACCACTCCAGCTTATCATCCAGGTGTACCCCTAAGTACTGCACCCCCTCTATGTCCTCACCCTGGTTGGAAACAGGGTTCAGCGGAGACTTATTCCTTTCAAAAGTCCATGTCCATTTCTTTGGTCTTGCTGGTGTTTAGCTGGAGATGGTTAAGATGACACCACTCCACAAAGTTGGTAATGAAGCTCCTATATTCCTCCTCCCTCTCCTCTCTAATACACCCCACGATGGCAGAGTCATCCGAAAACTTCTGCAGATAACATGCCTCTGAGTTGTACCTGATGTCAGAGGTGTAAAAGGTGAACAGGAATGGAGCAAGGACAGTCCCCTGTGGGGCCCCAGTACTGCTAACAACCTGTTCGGACACACAGCTCTGTAGTCGCAGATAGTCTATAATCCAGGACACCAGGGGAGTGTCTACCTGCGCCACCCTTAGCTTATCTCTCAGTAAAGGTGGATGGGTGGTGTTAAAGGCACTTGAGAATTCAAAGAACAATAACTCTCACAATGCTCCCCGTGTTCTCTAATTGAGAGTTAGCTCTGTGTAGCAGATAGATGACTGCATCCTCCACTCCCAAGTGTGACCAGTAAGCAAACTCCAGGGGTCCAGTGCTGTACTTACCAGGGTTCTGAGGTGGTCCAGTACAAGCTTTTCCAGAGTTTTCATTAGGTGTGATGTCAGTGCCTCTGGTCTGTAGTCATTCAAGACTTTAGGGTGCCCCTTTTGGGGTACTGGCCCCAGGCAAGATGTCTTCCAGAGCACGGGAACCCTTTCAAATCTCAGGCTCAGGTTGAAGATATACTGCAGCACTGAACAGTTGGTCTGCGCAGATCTTCAGCACCCTGGAGCTGACACCGTCAGGACCCGCTGCCTTCCCTGCATGGAGTCTCCTCAACTCCCTTCTGACCTGGTCAGCTGTGATGGATAGGCCGAGGAGGGCAGAGGAAGATGGAGTAGGAGTAGGAGGGATCTCATGATGGGGTGACTGAGGACATGAAGAGGGTTCTGGGGTGGAGGCCTGTGAGGTGAATGGTCAGTGGAACCTGTATCGAATCTGTTAAAGAAAAGATTCATCTCATTGGCCCTCTCCAGGCCTCCCTCACTCTGTTGGCCACCGGACAACTTGTATCCGGAGATCTTCCTCATGTCATTCCACACTTCTCTCACATTGCTCTCCATCAGCCTGTCCTCCATTTTCCTCCCATAAGCCACCTTGCTCTCCCTAACTCTCACCTTCAGCTCTTTCTGCACTAGCCTCAGCTCCTCCTTGTCACCTGCCTGAAAATCCCTCTTTTTCCTGTTTAGGATGGCCTTCAGATCACTGGTGACCCAGGGTTTATTATTGGAGAAGCAGCGCACTTTCCTGGTGGGCACTGCACTCTAAACACAGAAGTTTATGTAGTCAGTGATGCAGTGGGTAAGACCATCAATGTCATCTCCATAAGGCTCACAGAGTATCTCCAAGTCCGTTGTTTCAAAACAGTCCATCAGTGCATCATTAGCCTCAGCTGACCATCTCCTCACTGTCCTGGTGGTCACTGGTTGCTGTAGGACAAGAGGCTTGTACAGAGATAGGGGATGAACAAGGTTGTGGTCAGATCTGCCAAGGGGGGGGAGTGAAGAGGAGTTGTAGGCATTCTTCACCTTAGGATACAGCAAGTCCAAAGTCTTAATATCTCTAGTAGGGCATTTAACAAACTGACTAAAAGTAGGCAGAGTAGAGGAGAGCAAAACATGATTAAAATCACATGGCTTGTGCATGACGAGTCTGTAGTTCAGCTGTAACAGTGTGTATGACGTCATAAGC